GGTTGTGGGGTGTGTCTGGTCCCCTTCTCCATGCCTCTGGTCCCTGGGTGGGCCCTGAGGCCCTGGCACAGTATGCCTGGTTGTGGGAGGGGGGTCTGGTCCCCTTCTCCATGCCTCGGGTCCCCAGGTGGGCCCCGAGGCGCTGATGCAGTGTGCCTGGTTTTGGGATGGGAGTCTGGTCCCCTTCTCTATGCCTTGCGTCCCCGAGGCACTGGCGCAGTGTGCCTGGTTGTGGGAGGGGGGGTCCTGTCCCCTTCTCCATGCCTTGGGTCCCCAGGTTCCTTTTGTTTTCTCTTTTGGTATTAATTGAATAATGGAATAATATTTTAAAAGTTATTTTACAAATTATATGTGTCATTTAATATTTGGCATTTAGGTTAAAGCAAAATTAAGATGTTGAAAAAATTTTTAAGGCTTCTGGTTGACTTGACTGTGGACCTTTAATGATTCAGCATGTGTATCAGAGCTTTATTAAGGATATCATTTGTTATTATGATTAACACCTGATTACCTCGACAATCCCCATTATTTCTTGTCCTCAGCAAACTCTATCTTGGATTAGTTTCTTTCTATCATTGCTTTTGTTTCATGTCTTCCACTGTCATGGTAATTGTGGTAATACAACTCATTTTAGTATAAAATGTAGTTTAAGAATGTAGCCACAGTGCTATTTTATTTATTTATTTATTTATATTTGGTCTTTTTCGTGACTGGTAAGGGGATCGCAACCCTTTTTAGTATAAAATGTAGTTTAAGAATGTAGCCACAGTGCTATTTTATTTATTTATTTATTTATTTATATTTGGTCTTTTTCGTGACTGGTAAGGGGATCGCAACCCTTGATGTGGTGTCACCCACACTGCACTCAGCCAGTGAGCGCACCGGCCATTCCTATATAGGATCCGAACCCGTGGCGGGAGCGTCGCTGCGCTCCCAGCGCTGCACTCTCCCGAGTGTGCCACGGGCTCAGCCCAAGCCACAGTGCTTTAAAGTAAAATGGAAACTTGAGAAAAATCAAGAAAAGCCTTTGGTAAAAATGCAGTAATTTTTTATTTCTTTATATGCATAAGGCTAGCCTGTTATAAACTGCTACCAAAATGAAGAAATTTTACTGTGGTTTCTGTAGTTTCTTGAGTATGCATTTTTAAAAATCTTATTCGTTTTGTTTATTACAGGTTCATTATTTATTTGGTGGGAATCCAGGAAAATCTTGTTCTCCAAAAATGAGATTAGATGACTTCTGGTCACTGAAGTTGTGCAGACCTTCAAAAGATTACTTACTGAGGCATTGCAAGTACCTCATAAGAAAATACAGGTATAAAAATAATTTGGTGAAAACTTTTAATTAACATTATCAGCTATTTGTTGGTATTACCTAGCTTTGCAGGTGTGACTTTCTCTTTTCAAATTTAATGACAAGACAGTGTAAATACTGTGAAGATTATGAATTTTATAAATGCCCTGTTATTCTACTTGTTTTTGCTTTCTTCCTATATAGATATTGTTGCTAAAAATTTCTAAGTACAGAACAAGTGAAATTTTGCAACTGATAAAATAATGAAGAAAAATATTTCTGTGAAGGTGATTTGCCTACTTTGGAGTAACTCAAGTCTCAATCACTACAGATTAGATCAGCCACAGGGTATTGATATATGCCTGACTTATTGATAACTCTCTTGACAGTGAATGTGGTGATATAGTTGATTGTATAATATCTTTATGGTTTGATGTTTCACAATACAACTTCAAATTATAGTTACAGTTTTACATCATTACTGTTGCTATTTAATTGCAAAATCATGTAGTCAAACATTTTCATATATATATCTCCTGAGTTATGTTTGCTTTTTTAGCCTAACAGGTAATAAATTACTAAAAAAATGTAGAAAAGTGTATCTGTCCTTTTGGTTATTAATAGTGCTACATGCTAATAAAAATTTGTAGTTTGGAAGGAGGAAGCCTTTAGTGATGGTAATAACTGCCATTTATTGAACAATTATTGTGTGCTAGACCTGCATATTATTTTTACAATAAGCCAATGGAGTAGGTATTGCCATTATCACTATTTTATAAAAGAAGAAAACAGATGCATTTAAAAATGGATCATATAACTCATCTCAGGTCAGCCAAGTGTAGGTGACAGAGCCAGAATTTGATTCTAAGTAGTCTGACTCCAGTGGTCACCACTTAACCAGTACACACACACACACACACACACACACACACTCTCTCTCTCTCTCTTACACATGTGTATGTATATATACATACATACATACATATGTTTATGTTTATATTTGTTTATTACATATAATATATTTATGTTTCATATAGAACATAAATACATAAAAATCTCTGCATATATAAATTAGATTTGTGCACCTTTATCATATAATATTTAGTTGTTGGTCTTTTCTCTACTTTTACAAGTTGTGCTTGAGAGACAAATTAATGACAGAAGCTAGTATAGGGCTTTATTATGAATAGTTAGTATATTTCTTATAAAATGTATGGGGGAAAGGTCTGAATCTTCACATTGTGTGGATGGCAAGGGATAAACTGTTTTATTAACAATATTTAAGCTTGTGTTACCTTCAACTAATGTTTACGTTGCTAAAATTTCATTCCTTAGTATTTTACTTAATGTTAAACTTTGTTTTTAAAAGAATAAGATAAATTTGGGGAGATTTTAGTGTTAGTTTTTTTTCTACTTCAAGATATAACAACTGGTAGTTGGAATGTTAAATTGAGCTCTTTTTAAAAATTTTTTGACCATAGGCCCATTAGAGATTAAAGGAGATTATTTAGTGCATATGTAAAGAATTGGAATTCACTTACAAACTGTTTCCTTTGGCTTTTAATTGAAAAAGTAATGTATGCTTAATAAAGAAAAAGTAAGTCTTCTCTTCCCCTAAAAGAATTGATCACTCATCATCCTACCATTTACAAATAATAACTTAATATTTTGGTATATATCCTTTGAACTCTTTACTACCCATGTGTACACATAGATTTTTGTTTAACTGAAAAATAGGGATCATATTGCTTTGATTTGTTTCAATGAATGATGTATCACAACATCTTATGTTAATAAATACAAGTGCAAATCATAATTATAATGGCTGCATAATATTTTGCTGTACGTATAATTCACTTAACTAGTCTCCTTTTGTAGACTCTTTAGATTATTTCTAGCTTATTTGCCATTATAAACGATAATGTAGTTATTAATATTATTACATATTTCTATTTGCACCTCTATTAAAAATTGTATAGAATAGTGGTAGAATTGATGAATTATCAAACTGCCCTCCAAAAAGCTGTTAATTTTCATTCCTTACAGAAGTTTGTAGGAGTATTCATTTTCCCACAGGAAAGGAGTAAATTAAAGACGATGGTGTGGTGGAAGTGGAATGAGTGAGGCGACTGTGGTAGAAGATGAGGTCAGAGGGGTAAAGAAAGGGGCAGGCTGTGAAGGGCCTTTGGCTTTGATTCTGAGGGAAAGGGGAGCATTGAAAGACGTTAAATAGAGCAGAGACACGTTCATACTTATCTTTTATAAAAATCATCCTGGATTTTCTTCCAGAAGAACTGGGAAAAGTTGTGGCTGCTTTCTCTCAGATGGGAATTCTTCAGAAACAACAGGTTTATGTGTTGAGAACAGTAAGTTCAGTTTAGGACACTTTAGATTTGAGAAATCTATAAACATGCAAGTGGAGATCATCCACGAGCATTCGGAGAAAAGGCCTGGCCTAACATTACATTTGTGAGACGCTAATAGGGGAAGGGGCTTGCTCAGGGATAGTGAGAAGAGTAAAAGGATGCTGAGCACTGTCAGAGGACGACGACTGTTTGAGGGACTGGCAGAAGAACAGAAATTCCACAAAAGAGATTGAAAAAGCACAGTAAGGTACCATATAAACTTTAAAAGTAGCGCCAACAGAATCTATTGATAAATTTTATATGGGTGTGAGAGAAAGAGAAAAGTCAAGAATGACTCCTAGGATATCATGAGAATCTTGTCTTCTGTGTATTCAAACTGACAGTAAAAGGCCCATTTTAGACTTTTGAAAAAATGTAGACCTTTTTCTCTACCAAACTCTTAGATGAATTCAAGAGTTTAAAGGACATTGATACATTGCAGGCATAATAGATAAAAGTCTGTGTCTGTGAATTTGGGGTAGAACATGAAAATTGCCTTTTTAATTCAAATGTCATGGTAATTAGACACTTATTATATGGATACTTAAACTATACTGCTTGACTGACTTATTCTTGTTGTTGTTCTTATGTAAAATTATTCTATTTAGTTGAAATATAAATTACTATTTAATTAAAATATAAATTTAGTTAAAATATAAACAGAAGTATATTGTGTGCTGAGAAACTATTTCCTTGTTCTTAGTGGTGTCATATGATACAGTAAATAATTACCACTATTATTTTCTCATATAATGTTCATGTTTTCAAACTTGATGATGATTTAGGGGTAGAAAAAAGTAAAAAAAAAAAATTTTATAGGATTAATTTCTGTTCATTTAGGTATAGGGCAGAACCAATGATTGAAATATAATTCTAGACTGCAGACACAAGTCTTTGCAAGCCAAATAAAGCTTAGGGAAAAAAAAAGAGGGAAAACATAACTTTCAGGAAACAAATCTCTTTACTGTATTTAGTGAGATGGTAGGTATGTGTTGGTTAGGTTATTTCAGGTCGCAAAGAATCAGATAACTTTAGAAGCAGATAGACCTATGTTTGATTCTGCTTCTGCTACTTACTAGCTCTTTTCTTGGCCAGGTCCATTCTCTGGGTCTCAGTCTCTCATATGTTTTTTTTTTTTAAATGACAAAATGTATCATCATCATAGAGTTATTGTGAGGATAAACGAAGCAGTATATGTAAAATACTTGATATAGTGTCTAGCACATTACAAATGCTTGTTAAGAGGTTGTTGCAATTGTTTCCGTTATTACTGACTGAGACATGGAAATGGTCTCATTAAAAATATCTAATCAGTGTTAAAGATACTCATTAAAAGAAGTCATACTCATTTCAGTCTCTAAAGCATCTGTTAAGCATCACCAGTGGAAAATACATTGGACAAATCTAAGCAAGTATTTTAATTTTACCTCTACTTGGTTTTGATGAAACACATTGGGCTCTTTTGCAGTTCTGTTATGTAAAATAGTTAGCATATATACTGTGTTTTATAGTTGATTTGGTCCTAACTTGAAGTTTTAAGAAAGGGGTGGGAAGTGCTCTTACCCTTCCTCTAGCACCACAATTGCCTGTGACTACCTGACATTGCCATCATATCTCCAGGAACTCCACATCTGCGCTTAGCTGCATGGCAGTATTCTTACTTCTGGGCTCCCAAACACAAGTCTTTTTGGATATCCGTAATAACTCCTTATACACACTGTATTTCACCCTCCAGGTTTGAAAGACATTTTAACGATGTTTTCTCATAACTCAAGACAATTACTATTCTTGTTTACATTTTCTAGGTTTGAAGAAAAAGCCCAAGTGGATCCTCTTAGTGCTCTGAAATATTTACAAAATGATCTTTATATAACTGTGGATCATTCAGACCCAGAAGAGACAAAAGAGGTAAAGAAAGGTGGTAATAAACTTCAGAAATTGAGTATTTTTAAAAATGTCTTTCTAACTTATATTTGATATATTTTTTTTATTTTTGAGTGTTTAAAGGAAAATGAAGAAAATATGATACTAATAATCTAAAAAATGGCACAGAGCAGGGTGAAATCAAAATTGAACAGGCATATTTTCATGTTATAATATAAGATTCAAGTCACACAAAAAACCTCTTATCCATTTAGAAAAAGATTCTCAGGCTTCTCAGTTTTAACTTAGACATTAGTTTTGTATTTCAGGAAGGAAATAGAAATTTTTACTTCTTCCATAGTCCCATGGTTCTTTTACTTAAGGATTTCATAATGGTTCAATATAAGCTTTTCTGTTCATTCTCAAGCTCCTTCAAGAGAGGAAACAAAACTCTTTTTTGTAGGGAGAGAAAGTTGGTGGGAATAGAATCCTTGTTGCCCTAATATTGCTGAATGTGTGTGTTATATGAATGTGGTAGCAGATAGCTTCACTGTAGGCTACTAACTTCATTCATCAGTAGTTCCTAAGCTTGAGCAATCAGTAGCCAATCATTACTTTTCAATTTTTTGTTACATGATATGGGATAAAAGCAGCTGTTTTAAAAGATTTCATATTCTTAAGGGCATATTTGCTTATCTACAATGTGTGAATATGACTATAATAAGTTTCATGGTTCTACAGCTTCTCTTTCCACTAATTTCTCAGTTTCCTTTTGCCAGCTATCCTTGTTCATTTAGCAGCATCTGAACTACAATCCATTTTGCCTTCCATGGACAGAATTGGTGCTGGTTATATGTAGTCTTGTCCCTTAGGTCTATTTCCCTGTTAGCTGTTGCTTTGTTTTGGCTTTCTAGTAGCAATTTCAAGCAGTGCTTTTCTCTCTTCAGAATTGACACAGTTTTCAGATTTAATGTCAAATCACTTTCAGGCACCAAGTTCATTGTACCTTATAGCAATGAAGCCTGCATATCCTTAGTACCAACACAAAGAGATACTCTTTCATAATTTCCTACTGTGAAAATAAAGCCTATTTCTGTCAATACTTCACTAGGTAGAGAATCAGCAGAACATACTTTAGAACCTCCCTGGAGGGGATCTGTTGTCTTTCCTTGAATCTTCAGTCAGTTGATGATAGATACTATTGGAAATAGGGGAAATACCACAGTTTTCCTGAGTAGTAGAATATGTTTGATTTAATCTGTTATGACTTAAACCCATACATAGTTGTGAGGAGTTCATTAATATTAATTTTGTTAGACCATTCATTTGAGAGTTATAAATAGATTTTCTTGTGTTTTCTCCATATTCTATATAGAGTAGCTATAACCGAGAACAGTAATTTTTGAGGATTATTTAAAAAACCAAACCAAAACAAAATATTTTAAAGTAAATATTTTCAGCTGTGTGAGCTGTAAGTAGGCCAAAAAAACCAGACAGTTTGTTCTTGAAGCTAACCTAATGGGAAAAATCAGGACAGGGAGGTATCTCAAGTTGAAACAGAGCCATTTTTAAAATTTTGGTAGCTGGCTTCTATTTTTCTTCTTTTTTTGAATGGTAACAACTTATGATTTTGTATGCCACAGACTTTCATTTCATTCCGTAAAAGATTAATATAGCAAGAGTTTAAGTAGCCTTAATAGAAGTTAGTAAAATGGAGTTTGTGCGTGTGTGTGTGTGTGTGTGTGTGTGTTTGTGAGCATCAAAACAATACCTTCACCCTAAGATTCTCCTCTGTCTGCTCTTATATAACAGAAAATGGAAAATACTCCTGATATTGAGAATTACTGGTCTGCAAGATTATTATATTTTAAAAGTTTGTTAACAGGTTTAACTTCACTTTTGAAACTTTGTAGATTCCAACAATCTGTTTTTGGGAAAGAAACCCCCTGGTGACAGTTCAAGTATATATACTTTCAGTATTTGTCAGTGAGGCATATAGATCTTCACTTTCATTATCAGAAATCATTCTACTCTTGGAGAGAGGCCTTACTGCTGTTCATTCTCAATAGTAGCTTGTTTTTGTTGTGTTTGTATGTTTCACAGAATTTTCCTTACGTTAAATGACTTTTTCAGTAACCAAAAGTGTTTTTTAGATTCTTTTTTTTTTTTGCAGTTATCATCATCATTGTGCCTGTTATCGGGATAATGATGGTTGACTACCAGCTGTATACCCAAAAAATGGTTTTTTGCTTGCTCCAGTCTCCAGAACATGGATTCTGAGTTGATGATGAACTTTTTTGTTTTAGTTGATTGTACATATCTGTGGGTTAGAGTTGAATATCAATACCTGTGTGCAGTATGTGATGCACAAATCAGGATAATTAGTAGATAATTAGTACATTCAAGATTATACAATGTAATTATTTTTCATGGCCCTTTAAGAAAACCTCCCTTACTCCCCTTCCTCCCCCTTTCCCTCCCCCTTTCCCACCTCTGGTAACCTCAATTCTGTTCTCTCGTTTTAAAAGTTCAAAATATTATTGCTATTGTTTTATCTTACTTTCTTTTTCTTTTCTTTTTTTTTTTAATTTGTTTATTTTTTAGCTACCACTTCTAAGTGAAGACATGCAGTATTTCTCTTTCTCTGCCTGGTATATTTCACATTATTTTCTCTAAATTCATCCATGTTGCTACAGATGACAGGATTTCATTCTTTTTTATGGCAGAGTAGTATTCCATTGTGTAAATAAACTGTATTTTCCTTATCCAGTCATCCAGTTATAGACATTTAGGTTGGTTCCAATTTTTGTCTATTGTAAATACAGTTGCAATAAACATGGAAGTGCAGTTATCCCTTTGACATGATGATTGCCAATCCTTTAGGTATATATATATCCAGCAGTGGAATTTCTGGATCATATGGCAGTTCTATCTATAGTTGTTTAAGGAACCTCCATACTGTTTTCTGTAAAGCCGCACTAATTTACAGTTCCACCAACAGTGTAGGAGGGTTCCCCTTTCTCCACATCCTCATCAGCATTTGTTATTCTCTGTCTTTTTGACAGTAGCCAGTCTCACTGGAGTGACATGATATCTCAGTGTGGTTTTGATTTGCATTTCCCTGATGCTGAATGATGTTGAGCATTTTTTCATGTGTCTCTTGGCTTTTGTATATCTTTCTTTGAGAAATGCCTATTCAGCTCCTTTGCCCATTTTTTAATCAGGTTATTTGTTTTGTTACTGTTAGGTTATTTGAGTTCCTTGTATATTCTGGATGTTAATCCTTTTTCAGATGCATAGTTTGCATATATTTTCTCCCACTCTGTTGGTTGTTTTTTTCCTCTGTTAATTGTTTCTTTAGCTGTGCAGAAGCTTCTTAGTTTGATATAATCCCATTTGTTTATTTTTTCCTTTTGTTTCCTGTGCTTTTGGGGTCATATTTCATAAAATCTTTGCCCAGTCCTTCTTCCCCTGAAGTGTTCTCCCTATGTTTTCTGTTAGGAGATTTATAGTTTCAGGTCTTATATATGTCTTTAATCCATTTTAAGTTGATTTTGGTATATGGTGAGAGGTACAGGTCTAGTTTCATTCTTATACATAAACGATTTTCCCAGCACCATTTATTGAAGAGGCAGTCTTTTCCCCAAAGTATGTTCTTGATGCCTTTGTCAAAGATCACTTGCTTGTAAGTATGTAGGTTGATTTCTGGGTTCTCTATTCTGTTCCATTCCCCCGAGTGTCTCTTGTTATGCTAATTACCATGCTGTTTTGGTTACTATAGCTTTTTAGTATAATTTGAAGTCGGGTAGTGTTATGCCTCTGGCTTTTTTTTTTTCCCCCCCTCAGGATTGCTTTGGCTATTTTGGGTCTTTTGTTGATCCATATGAATGTTAGAACTGTTTTTTCTATTTCCGTGAAGAATGTCATTGGTATTATGATGGGGATTGTGTTGAATCTGTAGATCACTTTGGGGAATATGGACATTTACACAATGTTAATTCTTCCCATCCACAAGCATGGAATGTCTTTCCATTTTTTTGTGTCCTCTCTAATTTCTTTCAACAGTGATTTGTAGTTCTCATTGTAAAGATCTTTTATTACCTCCTTGGTTAAATTGATTCTTAGGTATTTTATTTTTTTGGTGACTATTGTAAATGGATTTGCTTTCTTGATTTCTTTTAATGCTAGTTCATTGTTGGAGTATTAAAATGCTACTGATTTGTACATGTTGATTTTGTATCCTGCAAATTTTTTACTGAAATCATTTAGCAACTCTAGCTTTTTTTATAGAGTCTTTAAGCTTTTCTATGTATAGGATCATGTCTACTGCGAACAGGAACAATTTGACTTCACCTTTTCCACTCTGGATGCCCTTTATATCTTTCTCTTGCCTGATTGCTCTGGTGAGTACTTCCAATACTATGTTAAATAGGAGTGGTGAGAGTGGGCATCGTTGTCTTGTTCCTGTTCTTGGATGCTATCCCATTCGGGATGATATTGGCAGTGGGTTTGTCATATGTGACTTTTATTGCTTTGAGATACTTTCCTTCTATACCTAATTTGCTCAGTCTTTATCATGAAGGAATGTGTGGTTTGTCAAATGCTTTTTCTGTGTCTTTTGAGATAATCATAGGTTATTTTTGGTTTTGTTGATATGGTCACATTTATTGACATGTATATGTTGAACCATCTTTACATCCCTAGGATGATCACACCTTTTGATCATGGTGTGTAATTTTTTTGATGTGTTACTGTATTCCATTTGCTAATATTTTATTGAGGATCTTCTGCTGTGTTTATCAAAGATATTGGCTTGTAGTTTTCTTTTCTTCTATTTTTGTCTGGTTTTGGTATCAGGGTTATGGTGGCCTCATAGAATGAGTCTGGGAGAATGACCTCTGTTTCCGTTTTTGGAATAGTTTGAGGAATATTGGTATTAATTCCTCTTTAAAGGTTTGGTAGAATTCAGCAGTGAAGCCCTCTGGTCCTGGGCTCTTCTTTGTTGGGAGACTGCTGATTAGTGCTTCAGTTTCATTGCTTATTAT